ACACACACACACACACACACACACACACACACACACACACACACTCCTGTCATCAATGGCTAACTGCAGAGAAATAGGGCCCGTCTCCATGCAGGTTGCTGACCAGGCAAGGGTGAGTGATTCTGAAACTGGAAAGGCAGGGCCCGTTGTGAACCGGGGGGTAAGATAGGCTGAGGCTCCGGCAAGCCTCCAGCGAAAGGGCAAGGAGTCAGGGTGATGAGGGGCTTGTGTCACCATCGGCAAGAACTGGAACTTCGAGTTCCAGAGCGTGGGGAAGAGGTGGCGGGTGAGCCAGCCTGCCGAGGTGAAAGGGTGGGAGCTGAGCCAAGTGTCCTGATCACCCCACTGAGCCTCCTTCTGCGGCAGGGCCAGCGGGGTACCTGCGGCGGGCCAGCGTGTCCCAACTGACCCAGGAGCTGGGCGCCGCCTTTTTCCAGCGGCAGCAGCTGTCGGCGGCCATGGCAGACACGTTCCTGGAGCACCTCTGCCTGCTGGACATCGACTCGGAGCCCGTGGCCGCCCGCAGCACCAGCATCATCGCCACCATCGGTAAGCGCCCCATCCCACCAGCCTGCAGCCTTGCTCCCGGGCCTCTCTTATTCTTTCGTTACCCCGAGGTGCTTCCTCACGGTCTCTGCCCTGCGAGATGTTTTCAGGTCCAACCAGGTTGTTTATCCAATAAATACGAGGGAGCGTAAGACGTCCATGGGGACCTTCCACCATCTTTCCATTCCATTCTCCCACGAGCGTTGTGAAGCCCCCTTTGTAAGTAGACGCCCTGGTTACTTGTTGGCAGTTAGAAACCACCAGCCACTCCACAGATGAAAGATGAGGCTCCTGACTCCCATAAAAGATGTACGGCCATGGAAACCCGGGAGGGCGGTCCTTCCCTGTCCTACCCTTGCTGGGAGTCAGACGGACTCAATGGCACCAGGTTGCCTACGGATGGAGCATGTTCTAGAGAGGGCTCTGGGTTCTAGGCGAAGATCAGTGGGAAGGAAAAAAAAAGGTTTCTTCCTTGGGGAAAGGGCAGCCTCTCTGGGTAGACCCATCAGTAAACAACAACAACAAAATAATAACAACAAAATATAATAAATATGAGTTAGTCCTGTCACTCAGTCATCCTCCCAGGCCCTGCCCCTGGCACATCTTTTTTTTAATGTTAATCATTTTATTAGGGGCTCATACAACTCTTATCACAATCCATACACGCATCAATTGTGTAAAGCGCATTTGTACATTCATTGCCCTCATCATTCTCAAAACATTTCCTCTCCACTTAAGCCCCCGGCATTAGGTCCTCATTTTTCCCCTCCCTCCCCGCTCCCCCCTTCCTTCTGAGCCCTTGATAATTTATAAATTATTATTTTGTCATATCTTGCCCTGTCTGATGTCTCCCTTCACCCACTTTTCTGTTGTCCGTCCCCCAGGGAGGAGGTCACATATAGTTCCTTGTAATCGGTTCCCTCTTTCCTACCCACTCTTCCTCTACCCTCCCTGTTTCGGCCCCTGGCACATCTTAACAGCAGTCCCCAACCCCAGGACTGAGGGGACGGACATCTGACTGTGCAAGGGGAGAAGCTGTGGCCCGTCCTCTGACCCTGGTCCCGTGCCTGGCTCACAGCTGCTTTACATCAGCCCGTTCTTGCAGCCATGGCTTCCGTCCATCACCCCAGGGTTTCCTCTTCGTCACCGCTCTCATGCTTCATGACGACACAGGTCTTCTCCCAGGGACTGGCCTCTCCTGACACCACGCACAAAGTGCACGAGACAAAGTCTCGCACCCTCGCTTCTGTCTAAGAAGGACTCTGGCTGCCCTTCTTCCAAGACACCGCTGTTTGTGCCGTTCACAGTCCTTTGGACAGTCTTTGCCAGAATCAGAGTTCAATGCATCGATCCCTCTGAGCTCTTCCTTACTCGATGGGCAACTTTACTCTTCCTCACTCACTGCCATTGCGTGGAAGTTGGCAGGCGGAACGGTGTCTGTGAGTTTCTGAGACTGTCACTCCTTAGGGGTGTAGAAAGCCCTGTCTTTCTCCCATGGAGAAAGTTTCAAACTGCTGACCTTGTGGATCTCAGCCCAATGCATAACCACTAGGACACCCGAGCTCCTACTTTTATAATTAGGCACCTGTTAGCCAGTTCTGAAACCACAACGACACTGCAGGTGCTGGTTACAGCAGCACCCCCACTTCTTCAGGACCGAAATCCAGCTTAGTTACCTCGCGCTGCTATCCCAGAAGCACCACCGTCAACGACTCTAACCAGAGAAGTTACTCTCCTGCAGTTTAGGAGGCTAAAAATCCTAGCTCAAGGGCCCTGTTAGGGGAAGGCGATCTTTGGGTGGCTTGGCATGGCTCTTCCCCCATCTCCATGGCGTGCTGTTCACCTGCTGGTCCAATCTCTTTATCTCAGAAGACTGACTCAGAACACAACCTGCACCCCACTCCCATTAACAACACAAGACAGCCCTTCCCCACGTGGCGCCGCTCCAGAGGCAGAGAGGGTCGGCTAACAACACAGTTCAATCCGTATCACAAACATGACAGTTATTAGGGATTATGTATACAAAAGAATATAAAATGTTTTTATGAAAAAAATGTTTTTGTGGATATGTCACCAGTGAAAGCCTGATATCGTCTATCACTCACTGCTAAAGAGTCAATTCTGACTCATAGCGACCCAAGGTAAAATTGGGTTATAGACAAGGTAAAATTACTCATGTGGGTTTCTGAGACTGTCCCTCTTTATGGGAGTAGAAAGCCTCATTTTCCTCCCAAGGAGCAGCTGGTGGTTTTGAACTGCTGATCTTGAGATTAAGAGCTCACTGCACTACCCAGTACAAGACACCAGGGATAAGTTTAGTTACGTATTACAATGTAAACAAAACTATACTTAGAAAAGATTTGGTGGGGGGTTGTAAGCCAACATGTTATCTGAGACGAGAAGTGGGAAACATGTCATGGTAATGGGGCAACAGGAGTGCGAGGGCAGAGGTGAGCTGGAATCTTGTCAGAGGGCAGGGGCAGGCATTACTGAGCAAAGCCTTGAAGGAGCTGAGAGAATTCACCCGGCTGACATCTTGGGCGGGGGGAGGGTGCCCAGCGGAGGGAACAGCCAGTGCAAGGCTCCTGAGTCAGGAGGCCAGTTGGGCTGGCAGTCCTCTAGAAGAGCAGCAGCAGGAATGCAGAGACTGGAGGGCCTGAAGGCACCCTCCTGGCACAGTGGGTAACACATTCGGCTGCTAAGTGCAAGGTGAGTGGTTCAAACCCACTGGCTGCTCCTAGGGAGAAAGATAAGTCATCTACCTGCTCCTGTAAATGTTTAATCCTGGAAATCCCAGAAGGGCAGTTCTACTCTGTCCTATAGGGCCACTAGGGGTCAGATTGACTTGGTGGGCAGGGCTCTGTGGGGTCACAGTTAGAATGCGAGTGGAGCCCCTTTGAGTGAAGTGGGAAGCCATTTCTGGGTTTGTAGCAGACCCTGCTTCTGCTTGGGCAGAACTCTCCTGGCTGCTGCATGGGCGTAGGGAGAGGGGCAAGGGCAAGGGCAAGGGCAGGAATACTGCCCCTCTGCAGTATTCCTGGGAGGGGTGAGGCACAGTGGTGGGAGCAGAGTTATGGAGAAGCGGTCAGATTTCGAATAGAACGTGGAGCTAGGGTGGACAGGGTGCTCCTGTTGGGATGGAGTGGGGAATTGGGAAAGACAGGATGCCTGGGGTCAAGGACAATGTTTGGGCTGTGAGCCAGAAGAAAGGCAGCATGCACCAAGCAGAGCAGCCTGACCTGGCGTTGCCCCCCCTTCCCCTCCCAGGCCTCCGAATCTGGGCCTCCGCGCCCATGCCTGGCTGTGGTGCAGCCATGGTGCCAGCTGGGGCACGCAGCCTGGCTGTTAGGGCATCCACCATCCTTGGACAGCAGTGAGGGTCACATGACGGATTCCCGGGACGCCTCCCTAGGCCTATCAGACACTCCACCGGGTGTCACCTTTACTGGGAAGGCAGCAAATACAAGAGGCTCTGGTGAGGAGCTTTGCTACAAAGGGGAGCCAAGCAATAGGACCGTAGCTGAAAGGGGAACTGGCTTCTGAGGAGAAAAATAATAATCAATGAAAGAAAGCACCATGGGAGCGATCTCATCAAAAGGAAAATGGGGGGGGGGGACCCGCTTCTTTCCGTTGTCCTGAGCCTGTTGAGCAAGAAGATGCCTCCATGGGGCGTGGGGACCCCAAGGTTAGAGGGGCTAGTTCCCCACAGAGCAGGACTGAACTCACTGCTCCCCAGGCTGCAGGGGTCTCTCAGCTCTAAGCCTCTCCCCCCAGTGCCCTCACCAACAACCACCCTCTCAGCCCCCCTCAACCCCCGGAGTTCCCCCCACCCGCAGCACATCCATCACTTCCAACACCCGTGTTCTCAGGCCTAGCTCAGGCCGCGGGGGTGGCGGGGGAAGACCAGGCTGTCTCCTCCTGTGAAGGCTGACAGTCTGGGAAACCCGCAGGGACTGCGCTACCCTGTCCTGCAGCCCGCTAGGGGTGCGGATCCCCTCGAAGGCAGGGAGTCCATTTGTTAAGGAAAACCCAGGCCAGCCACCCCAAGCCCTGGCCTACCGGAGACAACAACGTGGTCGGCAGCGAGGGCGGTGGGGTTTCGGACAGGCTGCGAGGGTGGTGGGAACCAAGACCCCTGGGGAGGGACGGGTGGGAGGACTGGGTGCTCAGCGCGCTGTCGGGTTCCAGGGCCGGCTTCTCGCTCCGTGGAGCGCCTCAAGGAAATGATCAAGGCGGGGATGAACATAGCTCGGCTCAACTTCTCCCACGGCTCCCACCAGGTGCGCGGCGGGCGCCGGTGGGGCCGCGGGGGCGGGGGCGGGGTGGGGCACCGGGCTCCGGATTCTGAGTGCCCGCTCCTCTCCGGCCCCCAGTACCACGCCGAGTCCATCGCCAACGTCCGGGAGGCGGTGGAGAGCTTTGCAACCTCCCCGATCAGCTACCGGCCTGTGGCCATCGCTCTGGACACCAAGGGCCCGGAGATCCGCACCGGGATCCTCCGGGGGGTGAGAGGCGGGCGCAGGGCGCAGGGCGCGGGGGTGGGGGGTCCTGAGGTCTAGGGAGAGCGGCCAGCCTGGAGAAGGGCCTCCGGTGGGATTAAGGACCCGCGGGAGGGGCCCTGGCGCGGGACGCGGCCTGGGGACCCAGGGAGAGCCTCGCATCCTGGAGGGAGGGTGGGCGAGGGGGCGGGGCGGCGCTGTGGGCGGGGCCGAGGGGCGCGGGTCCCGGGCAGCGCGGGGACCTCGCTCACGTCCCCTCTGGCCCCACCCCCAGGGCCCGGAGGCGGAGGTGGAGCTGGTGAAGGGCTCCCGGGTGCTGGTGACGGTGGACCCGGCGTTCCGGACGCGAGGGGACGCGGACACCGTGTGGGTGGACTACCCCAATATCGTCCGGGTCGTGCCGGTGGGGGGCCGCATCTACATCGACGACGGGCTCATCTCCCTCGTGGTCCAGAACATCGGTGCGGACGCGCCTCCCACGCTAGCCCCGGGCAGGCACTGGGCGCACCCTCTTCCCTCTCCCTCTGTAGTCAGGCCACGCCTTCCCCTGGCCACGCCTCTCTCCGACGTCCCCGGTCCCGGTTTTGTGGTTTAGTTGTTCTTTCCACAAATGCCCACCCGGTTCTATTCGGTACAAGGGCCAGACCAGGGACAGAGAGGCCCACAGGGCATGGTCAGTACTGGAGTTCCCAATAAGCAAGGTAAACCTGGGCGTATGTGTGCTTCTATACCCATCTGTAGGGGACTTTCTCTGCTTTGCACCACAGGTAAGATTCTTCTAGGGAGGCCTGGCATCTGTCTCTGTCCCCAACCCCACAGAATCAAAGCCACTTGTGTGTCTGAAATATAGATTAGTAAGTAAGCACAATTCACCCTGAGCTTGCCCTGTTTACTGGATATTCTGGCCTGGCTGGCTCTCTCAACAGGCCCAGAAGGGCTGGTGACGGAGGTGGAGAATGGCGGTGTGCTGGGCAGCAGGAAGGGGGTGAACCTGCCTGGTGCCCAGGTGGACCTGCCCGGGCTGTCTGAGCAAGATGCCCAGGACCTGGCCTTCGGGGTGCAACACGGCGTGGACATCATCTTTGCCTCCTTTGTGCGGAAGGCCAGCGACGTGCTGGCTGTCCGGGCTGCCCTGGGGCCGGAAGGGCAGGGCATCAAGATCATCAGCAAAATTGAAAACCACGAAGGCGTGTTGAAGTGAGGCTTGGTCTCTAACTGTCCCATCAGACCCTGTACCGCCCCCTCCACCCAATGGGTGCCTCCTGACTCCCCCACCCACCAGGTTTGATGAGATCCTCGAGGTGAGCGACGGCATCATGGTGGCCCGTGGAGACCTGGGCATCGAGATCCCGGCTGAGAAGGTTTTCCTGGCTCAGAAGATGATGATCGGGCGCTGTAACTTGGCGGGCAAGCCTGTCGTCTGTGCCACCCAGGTCTGGAGTGGGCCCCGAGCCCTTGGGCCCTGCGGGTGTGGGGCACCTCAAGGGAGGAGGCCCACCTTTGAGGGCTGTCTCGAGGGTTGCTCTCCGGCGTTCGATCTGCAAACACGGTGACTGGAGACAGACATTGTGTCCCCCCTCCTTTTCTGCGGAAGAGCCCCACTGTCAGGAGGACCCAGCGTGGGTCTGAGGCCCTGCCTCTCGTGGGGCACTCAGAGAGGGTGGGTGTCAGAGGGTTGCCTAGGCAAAGCCTTGTCTGGGCACCTGACTCCCCAGTGTCCCTAGATGCTGGAGAGCATGATCTCGAAGCCCAGGCCGACTCGGGCCGAGACGAGCGACGTGGCCAACGCCGTGCTGGATGGAGCAGACTGCATCATGCTGTCGGGGGAAACGGCCAAGGGCCGTTTCCCAGTGGAGGCCGTGAAGATGCAGCACGCGGTAGGAGCTCAGGATGCGGGCATGTGGGCCAGGGGACCAAGCCCCTCCTATGGCCCTGTTCTCTGCCCCCCTGACCTCCTGCTGCCTGCAGATTGCCCGTGAGGCAGAGGCTGCCGTCTACCACCGGCAGCTGTTTGAGGAGCTGCGCCGGGCGGCACCACTGAGCCGTGACCTCACTGAGGTCACCGCCATCGGGGCCGTGGAGGCCGCCTTCAAGTGTTGTGCTGCTGCCATCATTGTGCTGACCAAGACTGGCCGGTGAGGGGCCCCTGGGGACGTCTGGCCTGGACTTCGGGTCGGGTCGGCCATGAGCCTGGGTGTCGTCTGGCTCTCGGTGATGAGGAACAGCATTCTGGGACAAAAGGAGAGGAGGTAGCTGTGGGAGCTGGAGGCCGGGAAGGCAGGTCCCGGAGGGCACTGGTGCCAGTGCACCCAGCAGTCCGGGAGAGGAAGGTGGTCCAATGGCACACACCAACATGCAGGCTGTTTGGTGTCCTGTCCATTTTATCCACAAAAAATCTCATAGTGCTCTCTCATGGAAAGACCCAGAAAGTCTGAGTTCCAGTCTTTTCTCGGAAACACACGAAGTCAGCCACCTGAGTGAGCCGCTCAGGCTCTGTCCCCTCGGCTTCCTCCTGTCTCTGCCGGCGCTAAGGAGCCCTCGTGGTGCCGCGGTGTGCTCAGCTGCTAACCTGATGGGCTGCTGTAAGGGAGAAAGACGTGGCAGTCGGTCCCATAAAGTTTCCAAAACCCCCAACCAAACTCCCTACCACTGCATCAAGGCTGACTCCTAACGACCAGATTAAGGCAGGGTAGAATTGCTCCTAGGAGTTCCTGAGCCTCTAACTCGTTACAATGTGTAGGAAGCACTGTATTTGCCCTGCGGTGTGGCTGGTGGCTTTGAACTGCTGACCTTGCTGTTAGCAGCCTAGCTTGTAGCCACTAAGCCATCAGCTATGGTACCAGTGCTGCTTAGCCCTGTAGGGCTAATTGACCCAACCGCAGGGGGTTTGATGATGGAGCTAGTGGGCCTGGGAGGAGACCATGCAGCCGTGCCGTGTTTGGGTGGGGAGACTGTGGGGACGCTGTGGTGGAATTCGCACCCTCCAGGCAGGGGCCCCAGGTTCAGTGCCAAGCAAGTGCACCTGCTGCCTAGTCACCATCCACTGCCTGTCTGTCCGTGGAGACTGGCGTGTTGCTATGATGCTCACTGCGTTTCAGTGGTGTTTCAAAACTAAGAAGAACTAGTAAGGAAGGCCTGGCTATCTCCTAACCGGCCAGGGAAAACCCTTAGCATGGTCATGGTCCAGCCCCCAACAGCTGTGGGGGTGGTGCAGTGTTTCCTCCCATCCCGCATGGGGTCATCGTGTGTCAGCGTCTGGCCGAGTGACAGCTAAGGACAACATGATGTCACTTTAGGAATTAAGCAGTGTGAGAGTGGACATGTTCAAAAGGGCTTTATGTCTCTCATGACCTTATTGGTTACCTGTCTTTCTTGTGGGATAGAAAGGGTAGGTATTCCTGGTCCTGTTTCCAGGTAAAGCACACCCAGTTAGTACCAAGGGTCCCACAGCCTATGGGTGATGCCCGAAAGTTGTGCCCAGACTTGTCCCTGCTCGCCCAGCCCCTGGTCACGGCTCTGGGCTGACCTTCTCTACCTCCTCCAGCTCTGCCCAGCTTCTCTCTCGGTACCGACCTCGGGCTGCGGTCATTGCAGTCACCCGCTCAGCCCAGGCCGCCCGCCAGGCCCACCTGTGCCGAGGAGTCTTCCCCTTGCTCTACCGTGAGGATCCAGTGGCCGTCTGGGCAGACGATGTGGATCGCCGGGTCCAGTTTGGCATTGAAAGTGGTGAGTTGCCTAGACCCCCTCCTGTGGTGCCAGATTGGCCCTGTGAGGTTCACTGAGACCCACAGTTTGTGGAGGGTCTTGTTTCCTAAACAAGTCACCGGCTGCTTCCTGAGGGGCCAGAGCCAGGCGGGACTTCGGAAGCTGGAGAGGAGAGAGTAAAGGGGGCCCATTTCCCAAGAGCAGCAACTGAAACAATGTAACTTACAAGTGATACATGCTCAGCTCATCCCCCACCTGCGCTGTCAGCACGGCAACCCAGCTGGACGGCAGGCTTGCTCCTTAGCAACCACGCCTCCCATTCCACGTGGAGACACACCTGGGGTCCAGCCCTGTGGTCACCAGTGGGGGTCAGGGAGGGCTGTTCTCTGACAACCCCGAGTCTCACCCTGCGGTTTTCTCTCCGTGCCCAGGAAAGCTCCGCGGCTTCCTCCGTGTTGGGGACCTGGTGATTGTGGTGACAGGCTGGCGGCCTGGTGCTGGCTACACCAACATCATGCGGGTGCTGAGCGTATCCTGAGATGCCCCCAGCTTTGACCCGGACCACCCTGCACCCACCCCTTCCTCCCAGCATCCTCTTCCAGACACCCCTCTTACAGCCGGCCCCTCTATTCAAACCTCCCACAGTTCCCAGCCTGGGCCTCATCTGCCATGCCTCCCTAGTCCAAGGGGGCCCTCCCCCTCTCGGTGTCACACAGGCCAGTGAAGCACTGCCCACTCGGCAGTGCCAGTTGTATTATGTTCCCTGCATCCAGTCCTCTCATCAGGGCCCTAAGACACGCTGAGCCTTTAATCCCAGCATAGCAGCTTAATTCCATCCCCGTCCGCCCATCCCTGGGGGTAGGGGAAGCGGAGCCAGGGCAATTTTGTCCTCTTTCCACAAAATCGCTATCGTAAAAACACTTGGTGTCCATGCAGTGTGATGTGCTCATGTGTGGCCCCCTGAGGACCTGGCATGCCAGAGGAGAGTGCCACCTCCTCCCGATGGCCTCAGGCCAGGGCAGTGCCTCCCCCTCATGGTGACAGAGGGTGACATCCACCCTTTTTAGAGAGCTGAGGGAGCCCAGGGGGCTGGGCATGGTAATGGCTGCTGCTTTCATGCCCCATTGGACCTGATGCCCTGCTGTCTATCCCTTCCTGCCCGCCTCGTTCCCACACACAAACCCGGAGCCAGGAGGAGTGTCTCCATCCTCTTTTTAAATGCTGTTTGGCAGTGATGATCAAACTTCCCTTACACACCAAGGACCCCAGCACCCACACTCCCCGGAGGGAAGGGGATGGAGAGGCCTGAGTGGGAGAGGGACAGGAAGGGTGCAAGTGTGTGTGGGGGGTGGTCTCTGGTCCCTGAAAAGGCATTGGTGCTGGCTGGCCGGCCTCTCCCCAGGGTCCCCGCGCCCGGCTGCTGCACCAGCCTCAAACTCAGCAGAAGGAAAAGAAACCACCCACAAAGTGAAGAGCCCTCCTCCCAGACTTGGGGGGCCCTCCGGTGACCTCAGTCAAGAGACAGTCCGAGTATTGCTGCTGATGGAGTTAGACAAGGGCCACAGGCACCACCAGGAGTGGGTGGAGGGCAGATGAAGGGGTGTGTGTGTGTGAACGAAATGACCAAACGATGACCCTCCACCCTGCTGTCCTCCGAGCCATGCTGACTCAGCGGCCCCACGTGGGGTTTCCAAGCGTGTACCTTTTTTACAGGAGCAGACAGCCTCGTCCTTCTCCCAAAGAGAGGCTGGTGGGTTTGAACTGACACCTAGCAGCCTGACACCTAGCCCACAGTGCCACCAGGGCTCCTTCATAATAAAATTAGCTAATGAAAAAACATGTAACAATAGGGTAGAAACAAATAAATAAGTTGATTGAATAATAAATACAGACAGAAGGAAGGGGGTTTAACCGTCATCTAAGGGTTCAGCCACCTGCCCCCTCCTGGGGGGGATCTAGGCTAGCCCGCTATGAATTCGTCTGGGCCAGTGATCCCTGGCTTTGAGGGTCTGGGACAGAACAAGGAGGTTTTGCCACAGAGACTGTAGGGAACATGTCAGGCGGGGTGTGTGTGTGTGTGTGTGTGTGTGTGTGTGTGTGTGTGTGTGTCCACTGAGAGGAGAGGCAGGGAGGGTCTGCAGACAGTAGCGAGAGGGCAAAGGTGGGTGTCCAGGCTGGGGACCCAGGGCATTTGCTCTTGGCAGCCATGGAAGCCCAGTTGGCAATGCCAGGCAGTGCTGGGGAGAAGGTAGCTGGCCCAGACAGAAGCTGCCAGGCCGCAGACAGGGTGAGCAGCACGTGGAGACGAGAGACGGCTAGGGCTTGGCAGCGGTGGCGGCGGCAGGTACTTGTGCTTATAAGGTGGGATCACAGGCCAGAACTGCACCCGGCAGGACCATGGCCCCAGGGCGTCCCCACCTAAAAGGGCTTGGAGTCACTTCTACTTGGCAGTGGCCATTATGGAGCCTGGCCCCATGGCTGGCGGGTGGCGGGCACTTGGGCCACGTGATGAAGATGACCGAATCGGAGGGTGTCAGGCTGCAGGGCCTGCAGGACACAGACCAACTTCTTGGATGGGAAGACGTTCCTAGAGGGCAGTGGTTCAGGTCCCCTCAGCCTCCCAAGAGGCATCTGCCCCTCCGAGGGCTAAGGGCAGCTATGCCCAAGGGGCTCACATGTTGGCAGAGAGCTGGGGGCCCCGAGGGGCAGCTGGCTCAGGCACTGGTGGCCTGGGGGGCTGGGCTGTCCCTAGAGGTTTGGCCAGGAGCCCTGAGGGAGGCAGGCGCTCACTTCCTGAGCCCTTCCGCCCAGGAGAGCCGTCCCCTGCTGCCCGCTGTGGCAGGGAGGGCTGGGAGGCTGAGAGTGGGCGGCCCCGAGGTCCCAGCCGTTTTCCGCCACCTCCTGGTGGGGGACCCAGCAGGGAGACTTGGGAGCGCCCAGCCCTGGACAGGCTGGCATGGAGGGTTCGGGCAGCTGGGGCAGGCAGGCGGGAAGTGGATGCCCATGGCCCCCGGACCAGCAGAGGGGCGGCTCGGATAGGCACCAGAGGGGACGCTGGGGAGCCTGCTGAGCGGCGAGCAGAGCGGGCAAGGAGGGCGACTGGAGAGTCAGGTGAGAGGGGCAGAGGGCCCCGCTGGTGAGTCAGGGCGATAGCCACGCTGGAGGTCACCGCAGCTGCCTGTAAGGGCGCATGCACCAGGGGCTCCCACAGCACTGGCTTCCCGCTGAGCCGAGCCCCCGTGCCCGGGGCCAGGCCCCGCACGCCCCGTGCCATGTCCCTGTCGTGCTGCACCAGGTGCTGCTCCAGGAGGCCACCGCTGCTGCCTGGGCTCGGCTCGGAGCGCTTCCGCCGCAGGACGGAGTTCTTCTTCCCTGCGAGTTGTCCAGGGAGGGAGGGGTTAGGGACAGGGAAAGAATCCCAAGAGGAGTGGGGCAGAGGGAGAGGGTGAAAGGAAAAAGGGATAGGCGTGGGGGGTCCGGAGGTGGTGAGAGATGGGGTTGGGCAAAAGGGGCCAGGGGAGACACGAAGAGATTAGGACACTGCTGCTCTATTGAAAAGCCTGTGGGGGGCTTTGCTGGGATGGGGGGGGGGCCTGGTTCTGGAGCAGGGGGGAGCTTTTCTGGGATGGGGGGCCCTGGTTCTGGAGCAGGGGAGGGGCTGGGGCAGGCCAGCCTCACCGATGCGGCGCAGCCGGTCCATGGCCACAGTCTCAAAGGCCCGGCGCATCATGGGGAACTCCTCCAGCACGGCGTTGAAGTGGTCCACGCTGAGTGAGTAGAGGCGGCAGTAGGTGTCAGCACGCACGCTGGCTGTGCGCCGGCCCCGGGTCAGCAGGCAGATCTCTGCAGGAGTTGGGGGGTGTATCCAGAATCAGTGTCCCCGGAGCTCCCCTCTCACCAGGCCTGCTGCTGCTGACTCAGCTTCCTTAGGTGATGACCCCGTGCCCCCACCCCACTGGGGTCTCTAAATGCCCCAGACTGCCTCCTGCTATACTGCCAGGAGGGGCCATGTGTCTGTCCAGCTTTCCGCATGCTTCTCTCTGGAATACTGCCCGGCTCGCCCCCCACCCCTCACTCTTTCATCTCTGGCGGATGGACCCCATCCCCACTGCTCCAACCCCAGGGGTGGGCCCGGGGCTCCAAGCAGGTGTGAGTGAACCCTGAGGGCAGCCCTAGGGGAGAACAGAAGTCCCTGAGGGCCAAGGGCCAAGTGAGAGGGGTGCTGGAGGGGGCATGCAGTGGGAACTGAGAGGGCCTAGGAGTCTCAAGTCACTTGGGGCAGCTGAGCAAACTGCTCCCACCCCCATGCAGGGCAGCGGTGAAGGGAGCCCCAAAGCTCGAGTCCCTGCCTTCCTTGTTCCTCACGCCCCCCCCCCCTTCATCATCCAACCCTCCCCTTCCTCCCTTTAAGCTCTGAAGGCTCTCTGCTCAGGCCCTTTCAGCCTGGCTGTGCAGGGAAGCTGAGGAAAAGCCCAGGCCCAGGGGCTGGTGAGTGGGAGTGGTGGAGGGGTGGAGGGGTTGGAGGAGTGGGGAAGGGCATTGGGACACTGTAGTTCTGCAACATAGCCAGGCGAGGACCCTGATCAGGGAAACAGCTGCTCTCTGTCCTCCTCTCCTGATCCCCCTCCCTCCCAGAGGCTTGCTGACCCCCAAAGTAGGATCCGTCAGTGAGGCGGGTGTCCCGGGCGCCTCGAGCCAGCACACTCAGCAGCCCGTGCTGGATGAAGTACATCTTCCTGCCCACGGAGCCCTCACGCACCACGAGGTCCCCCGGCTGGAAGACCTCAAAGCGCAGCTTGGTGAGCACGGCAGTGACGAAGCTGGGGTCAGCGTGGGCGAACAACGGCATGTGGGCCACCAGGCCCCGGCAGGTGAAGTTAATGATCTCCTGGGAGGGGCAGGGGCAGGTCAGGCAGTCGCTGCTCCCAGCCCACCCACCCGTGGCACCCTAGCCCTGGGGTCCTGAACTCCTCCCGGGAAGCCCTGGGCAGAACCACCTCCCCAAACAAGTCCCTGCCATTCCTCCCCATGCCCACTCCATCCCCATAAGACCTTTGTGAGAGACTCTAAGCCCTGAAGGCCTCCCAGAGTACTGGCCTCCCTTGGGGTGCACAACAGGCCCCAGTCCCTTGCCCCTACCCCCAGGCAGCATCCCCAGGAGCGCACCTCCCGCAGCGGCTCGCTCAGCTCGCCCAGGATGCTCTCCTCATCGAACATCTTGCCCTGGTAGCGGTGCTCATAGTACTCGTGGATGCGCTGCCGCGTGTCGGCCGGCAGCTTGTGGAAGGACATGTACTGCTCCACCTGCTTGTACTGCGGGGCCACCACGGAGGTGAGTCACAGTCAGGGCAGGTGCAGCGGGTGCGGTGTGGAGTCCGACCAGATGGGTGCACAGGGCCGCCGAGTGGCACAGGAAACGGTGGGCAGCACACAACATAGGCCAAGAAGCCAGATGCGGGCAGAGGAGGGGTCCAGGGACAGGGCACACCAAGGATAGGTCCAAACAGGAGGGCGAGGAAGGGCACAGAGACCAACAGGGGGGCACATCAGAATGAGCGTCGAGCTGAGCATCCTCGGCCCTGGGACCCCTCCCTGCCCACACTTCCTTCTCCTGCCCACCACTGACCTTCTCCTGGTACTGGCGCCGGGAGGAGTCGAGAGACTGGATGAGGGCAGTGGCGTGGCCGATGAACATGGCGTAGCACGTGGCGCCCACGATCATGCTGAGCATGGTGAGCCAGACGTCGGGCATGCCCACGGGTGCCTGCTGCCCGTAGCCGATGCACAGCATGTGGCTCATGGCCTTGAACAGGGCGTGGGAGTACTGGCGGCCCCACGAGTGGTTCTGGGGGCAAAGCATGTCGCAGAGCTGCGTTCGGTACCCTCAGAGCCCCTTCCCCTGCCTGCCTCTGATTTCCAGGGGCCCGCCCTAAGGCGGAGGGGGCCTCTTTTGCCTTGCCTGCCTGCTTTACCCACTTCCTCCAACACGCAGACATTTCTTCAGGATCTCTTCCCCTCTGCCGCCCCCCCCCCCTTCCCTCCCTACATCCTGTCTTGACTGGTCGCCTCTTGACCATCTCCTGCCTCCTGTCCCTGGTGCCCTTGGGAGGCCCCGAAGTCTCACCACCATGTGGTTGATGGCGACCCAGCAGTCGTCAGGAAAGTCCTGCAGCATGGGCACCAGGAACTGCAGGCAGCCGTCCCAGTGGCACAGCAGCAGCATCATCCCGATGAGGTTGGAGATGCGCACCACGGCACTGGCCAGGTCGTAGGTCATGTGGAAGATCTGAGGGGTCCGAGGAGGGGCCCGCTGTGGACAAGAATCCCTCCCTGCTGGTCCTCCTCCAGTCCCAGCCTTGCAAATCCTCCCTTTGAACTTCTCCCAACCTCCCAAGCCAAAGCCACTGCCATTGAGGCAATTCTGACTCTTGGTGACCCGACAGCACCAGGTAGAGCAGCCCCCATGGGTTCCCGAGACCATAACTCTTTACAGGGGCAGAAAGCCTCGTCTTTCGCCTGAGGAGTGGCTGGTGGTTTAGGAACTGCCGACCTTACGCATCGCAGCCCAGTGTAGAACCACGAAGCCACCAGGGCTCCTCTCGTGTGGCACACAGGTATCGGACATACAGGGCACTGTTGTTAGGAGCCATTGTTGTTAGGCGCCATCAAGTCGAGTCTGACCCAGTGACTGTATGTGGCAGCAGCACTGTCCCAGCGGGCTGTCCAGCTGTCACCATTAGGAAAGCAGACCGCTGCCCGGCTCCTCGTCCCACCCGGCATGCTTTACACTGCCAACCTTTTGGTTGTAACTACTACCATTTTACAGACAGGAAAAGGGTGGCCACATGCCAGGGCCACTTTGTGTCACAGCAGAGACTCAAACTCCACCGATGGCCTAGGCTGGACAAGGGGAGGGCATTTCACAGGGTACTGACCCTGGGGTGTGCGTCGTGTGGATAGGAGCCCGCAGCCTCTTCCCCTCCACTCATAGTAACAGCCAACTTACTGAGATGAGGCCGTGCCCGGTGCCAGGCCAAGCACTCTTAGCGCTGTGCAGGTGAGGGTTCCTAACCCTAACAATCTGATCTCGCTTAAGATGAGTGCGGTTAGCATCCCGCTTTGTGGAAGAGGAAATGGAGTCTCAATGTGGGACATACCAAGACGGGCTCAGCCTGTAGTCAGTAAGATGCCAAGCACGCACTGTGAACCCAGGCGCTGAGCCTCAAGGTAAGGCTGGAGCCAGCTCGTCTGGAAAACCAACCAGCCCACCATCACAGCTACCCAGTAGAGGGCTTCCAGCCAACCTCCTCTCTCTCCCACCCAGCTTCTTCCACAGCCTGTCACTCCTTCCTAGCTCCCCTTGCCACATCTCATCACTCCTGGCAGCATCCAGCTAACCACCCCACCCCACCCCCGCTTGCCCAGCCCGCCTGCTGCACTGGGTTCCACCCTTCTCTGTCACCACCCCACCCCAGGCCCCTCCTGGAACCCTCAATCTGCCTCTGCTTCTCCCTCCCCACCCACTTTGGAGAGGGCCCACCCATCATCCACGCTTGGAGCCCCCAGGAGCCTGGCCCACAGCCCCATCCTGGAGCGCCCCCTGCCCGCCCCACCTCCTCCCACTGGTGGATGTATCGGATGAGGCGGGAGAGGCGGAGCAGCCTGAGCAGGCTGAGGATCTTGGTGAAGCGCACGATGCGCAGGGCCCGAGCCGTCTTGTAGACCTCTGCGTCCAGGCGTGGCTCCAGCTCCACCACCAGGAAAATGTAATCCACGGGGATGGAGGAGATGAGGTCCACCAGGAACCAGGTGCGCAGGTAGCGTGTGCGGATGGCCCGAGGAGCCAGCAGGATCTCCGCACCCTCTTCCACCACGATGCCCGTTCGGAAGTTGAGCGCCAGGTCCAGCAAGAAGAAAGTGTCAGAGAGGACGTTAAAGACGATCCAGGGGGGGGAGTTCTCCTCCTTGAAGAAGGTGATGCCCACGGGCAGCACAATGAGGTTCCCCACCATCAGCAGCAGCATGATTAGGTCCCAGTAAAACCTAATGTGGGGTGGGATGGGGAGTGAGTCCACGAGGCCATCACCAGCCACCTCGCTGACAGATAAACAATCCGGGGGAGCCCGGAGAGTGGGCAACAGTGCGGAACAACAAATGGCCACTTGACCTTGGGTGGGAGTAAATTGGGACCACCAGGCGGTAGGATGGCAAAGTTAAGCATTCACATTCCCCACCGGCCAGCAATTCCATCCCTCGGCAGAGACGCCCTCGGCAGCACGCCCAAGGAGACGACCTGAGAGCATGTACCAATAGAAGAGTGGACGATGGATGGATATGTACACGGAGTGCCTGCGCGTCCCAGGCCACTCCACAGTCACCATTCCCCCTCCCCCCAGCTCAACCCGGCTAACTCCATGTTGAGAAAGAGCAGCCAGACACAGAAAGGAATCCTTCCCTGTTATCAAGTTCAAAACCAGATGAACCTGAGACTGCATTGTGTTAGGGGCTCATGCAAAAGTGCTGACTACACATGAAAAAAGAGCACAGGGTTGGGGGTGGGGGTGGGGGTGGGCGGGGCCAGGGACACAGCGTGGATTCCACAGGAGAGGGGGGGGATGTTTCTGGGAAGCAGGCAAAGTGGCCTCTCTTGACCTAGATAACTATTACATGGGAGGCTTGCTTTATGATCAATGGACACGTGTGTATATGTATGTCCTATGCCCCTCTCAAATAGAAATGCTAGAGACTGACTACCCTCATGAACTATCCTAAAATTTAAAAATAAAGTATCCTGTTGCCAAAAAAAAAAATACCCCTTGAGACAATGGAAGTGACAGTGCTATAAAAGCATTAGTTGGTGGCGTGACTCACCCGCTCTCTCTCCTCTGTGGGAGAGGTTGCTGCTCACCAGCTCTCTGCCCCTTCCTAATCTGGGAGCTCACACCCTGGAGCCTGCTCCAACTCCCCACCACTGCTGGACCTCAGCTCCTCGCCGCTGCCTGGATCAGCTCCTTGGTGTCCCGGGGATCTGCCCTGCCTCCCATCTGAACTGAGCTTTTCAAGGCTGCC